CAAAAAAAAAAAAAAAAAAAGAGTCAAAGGAAGTAATATGGATGGGAACACTTGGTAAACTAGGAATCATTATACAGATATTAGTTAATATGGGTTGACTTTTCAGTATCTTTATTCACTGCTTACACATTTTTTTAAATTCTTATTTTCCTTTCTTCCTTCATTAGAATGAAGTCCAAACTGCGAAGGAATTTATTAAAATCATAGAGAATGCAGAAAATGAGTATCAGGTAAGATGTAGTATTAATTTTTCTAGGTCTCAGATCTCATTATTTTGCTATTAAATTCTGTTAGGCCCGTCTGTATCCTTAACATTAATACATATGTTGTCGAGTACTTTGAAATATTGAAAGTTTATAGACCATGTAATTTGACATTCTACTTACAGTTAAGGTTTCTGGATTATTTTAATAAAAAAGTGAATTACTTGTCTCGCTTTAGAGATTGGAAAGGAGCTTACTAGAAATAATATGTTCCATCTGTCCTTTGTAGCATGTCCATTAACTACAGGCTTCCTTTTATATTCACAACCAATCCTATTTCTGTTCAAGCAACTATTTTCAATTATCTGTTGCAGACAGCGATTAGTGAGAACTATCAAACAATGTCAGACACCACATTTAAGGCCTTGCGCCGGCAGCTTCCGGTTACCCGCACCAAAATCGACTGGAACAAGATACTCAGCTACAAGATTGGCAAAGAAATGCAGAACGCTTAAAGCTGACTGTAGGATTCTTCATTATGTGGAAAGAAAATGATTCAACACATGGTCATATGATAAATAAGTGATTTATAAACAAAGTGATATTTTGCTAGGGCTTTCAAACTTAACAGATTTTCTAGCCTCATGGAATATTGTTTAACCTATAGCATTGCCTTGACCTTGTGTTCTCTGCCTTGTAATTTTCGGTTATCACTATATCTACTTGTAAATCTTTTTTTCTTTTTTTTCTTTTTTTTTTTTTTTCTTTTTTTCCTGCTGCGTTTTATGTTGTAAAGAGAGATCTATCTTGGACTCATTTTACTATTTAGAAAATTTTCCCAGCCATGAAGTCCTGTTACTGTTTAGATAATATGTTCAGTACTTTTTTACCCTTATGCTTCAAAGCACTTCTGGTACTTCAGTGGTTTTTACTGATCAAACAGCTAAAGAGGCTGTGCTACAAACTGTAGCTAAATGGAAGATAAGTTCATTCTTCTCTCACTGACTGCTTTGATCATCATTTATAGCATCTCATAACTCTTATATTTTTAAACTTTGCATTGAGGCCTTTCAGGTCCATTTGGTAGGGGCAAATTCAATGTTCTGGAAATTCCATGATAGCCAGCTTTTCTGGGGGGACTTGTTTTTAAATCCAAAGACTTGAACCACATTCCCTGCACAAGAATATGTTTGCTTTTTTGGAGAGGAGGGGGTTCTCTCATTGTCTCCTTCCCTATTGTAGGTATTGACACCTGCATTTTTAGACGAATTTTACCCATTTACATTTTTGTTTTTTTAGAACTGCTGACAATACTGTGGATATAGTAAAACTTGAACGATGCAGTGTTGAAGGAATCATAGTTATCTTGTCCTTTAATACTTTGTGGGATCAAACAGCTCTGTAAATCACAAAAACTAAACCTGAACCAAAGTGAAAAGAGTATCTCTCTATTGTAACCTGTTATTTAAGGGAATACTAGTGTTTTCTAAATAGGATGTAAAACTTGTTCCAAATTACTCTTCCTTAGTTCTGCCTGCCAAGAACTCAAAAGTAACTGTGATATAGCAACCCTTCCCAGGTATATTGGCAGGTAAATGTGTGATCTCAGAATATACAGGTGACAGAGATACAGTAGGACAACTGATGATGGTGGATTCATTTACATTGTTTACACTTCTACGACCAGGCCTTAAAGGGAGGTCAGTTTTTTAAAAAACCAAGTAGTGTCTTCCTACCTGTCTCCAGATACATGTTAAAAAAGACAATGCTTCAGCTTTGTTTTGCTCAGTAATACAGTCATGCAAGAGTTTGTTTCTAAGTGAAAGCTGTGTTAGCATTTTTTATTTCAAATAAAATATATTTGTATTATTTGTCATTCATACCATCCATCCATCATACCACACTATCTTCTGTATCAGGTAGTCCAATAGAAATATACCTGTTTTGTTCTAAAATTGTCTGAGTCTCTTCTCTTTGATCCATCTTGTCTGACTTTGTTCTCAAGGTAAGATATTCAACTATATTTGAATTTGTTTGTTGAGAATGTTCAAGCTTTCTAATACTGGTTCCTACTTTCAACTATTATAGACTAAATATATAAAGACATAGAACAGCTTTTTTTAGTGTGAGCAAAGTCTCTAGCTCATACTACTACACCCAAAAGCTACCAATAATACAAAGGTTTTGCTTTAAGCTTTTCATTAATGTCAAAAAGAAAAATCTAGTTTTTACCCATTATTCATAAAGCAAGGCCCAAGTCAGAGTCACAGTAACTAGGAAGTAGAAATTAAAGAAGCCCTGCACCTTGAACTTGGGTAATGTTTCACATTGGCTTGACGCTAAACACTGCTTTCCTCTCCTTCAAGTCTGGTTTAGCTACTGATGAGATGTGAGAAAGGCTTTTATCCTGGTTCTCAATAGAGAACCAAAGGGAGTTTCTGTGCTTCATCCAAGGTCAGTTCAAATTCCCACATTTTTGACAAGACATTTAACTGTACTGCCTTCTTTGCTTATAACACACAGATTCATACATTCTTGTCAACTTGTTGATTTTGTCAACCTGCCCCCACACTAGCCCATTGATTTCCTTATTCCAGAAACACCAATCTCAGGGATATCGAAAGCCCCCAGTTAGTTGTAGAAATGGGAGGAAATCAAACCTTACCAAGTCCTACACAGGCCCCCTGACTTCTTTACCTCCCTCACTGCAATAGCTGCTTGCATTGTGTCTATTTTATCACACACTGCTGAAATCAGTCTGTGGTACCCTAGGGCAAAGAATTCTATTCCCAGGCATAGAATAGAGTTTTCTGTGAGGCCCTGCTTCTGTATTTGGATTGAAATGACACTTCAGAAGGCTGTTTCCATCTGAGCCTCAGTGGTTTTCCTTCTGTTAGTTGCCTGCATGCAGTGCCTGTTCTCTGTTTAATGATCTAGAATTTTGATGCTGGATTTAACCTAGGTTCATGAGGTTCTTGGCAAATGTTGACACATTCTGCAAATTCAAAAAAGACTTGATTTATGTACCTGGATACCAGTTTATTGATCTGTAGTTCTGTATAGAGCTACCTAGTAAACTAGATGCTCATGACTACTTTTAGTTGATCAGCTTTCAACTAGTGGAAAATTGAAGGTTGGTAAATATAGAAAACTGGGTTGTCCTATTGAATAAATTGAGCTAACTTAAATTCTTTGATATAAACATACAGAATAAGAGTTATAAGCCATCTGGGGATGAACAGCAATTACATCTTCAAATCTGAGGTATCAAAGAGTAGTCTGTTATGTAAAAAGATGCACAGTTAATTCTTCATTATTCAGAGTAGCTATATTCTGTAAAGTCACTGAGAACACTAGTGAATAATTCATGCCTGAATGAAGTTTTATCTAACAGGAATTTTCTCTGTAAAGCCCTCTTGAACACTTTGGTACTACCCTTGGGGACCATCTCAAGCAGGGAAATGACCAGCACAAAGCACACAGGGCAGAAAGCATGGCTTTAAACAGTCCATGAAAAAGGCATTAGTTTCCAATATGGGGACCAAAAACGGCAGAGCATCAGTGTTGCCTCAGTTGGCAATGGTGCACACTGGGAAACAACAGTGTTCCACCACTTTGTGCGTGACCCTGAGTGACAACACTAAGTATGGACTTGGGAGATTGGAAATAAATTTTAGTAAGTTGATTTTGCAAATACGGATACTCGAATAATAACTGTACCTGCCACAGCCTCTCCTTTGGTCTGTAGTGGACTGACATTTCAGGACTAAGAACAACCAAAAAAAAAAAAATTTATAGTTGTCTTACAAAAGTTTGAATATATAAAGTTAAAGAACATTCACATCTGAGCTATAGATAAAGAGTAATGAAATAAAATACAGAGCTAATCTGCAAAGTAGTTCTGGGAAGCTATAGATTTATTCCAGTAATGCTGCTGGCCAAAGTTAACTTCTGGACTACCTGTTTGAACTCATTAAAATCAACCTTACTACTTTGAAGTCAGATTCTTTTAATTGCAGATTTAGAGAGGACTTCAAAGCTGGATTTGAAATGTGGGAAGACCATTCTAGACATCTAAAACTGCACGCATGAAAATAACCACAATTCTGTGTGAAGATTTTTCCAGATAAAATTTTTAGAGATAGTCTCATATTTCTCCCCAGTTTTTTCCTATAATAACAGCTGTTTGTGTGTTTTGAGAACATCTAGGAGATAGGTTTGACCAAAGAAAGAGGGAAGGTTATGTGTTCAGAAATAATGAGGACTTAACATCTGCTGGTCAGAATTGAGCCAGACATTAGGTTTGGATGTGATAGATAGTGTTTGAAATGAAAAGCAACAGTGATTTTGAAAAGTTCACACACACTCCCTCCACACACTTTTTTTTTTTCTATTTTGATGATAACGACTTGAACCCAGGGCCTTTTCCCTGAGCTACATCCTAGGCCTTTATTTATTTAGCCACCTGAGATCAAACTCATGACCTTGCACTTGTGAGGCAGGCTGTGGAACCACTGAACTAAATCCCTGACCCCTTTTTATATTTTTAGGCGGTCTCGCTAAGTCACTAAACTACCCAGGCTGGGCTCCAACTTAAAATCCTGCCCAGCACCACCATGCCTAGCTTGGAGTTTACCTTCTTCTGGCCTCAATGGCCTCATGAGTAATTGGATCAGAGAAAGATAAAGTATGTGAGTGACTGCTTTCCGCACTTTTCTAATTTGCATAACTAATTTTTACCACAAAATATTTTCCCTGTGCTCTATTTTCCTTGTTGCTTTGATTTTCACTGACACAGCATTTCCTATTGCAAACGCCTGTTATTTCTGGCTTTTCACTGTTGGCCTTGGGAAGAGATTCAGGGTTGACCCAGTGGGAGGTTGACCTGAGTCCTAGTCAGGTCACAATGGGTTAGATTGAGTGTGTGGCCTCCTGTTGCGGACTACTTTGGAGAACAACATTAGCTTTGACGTAGTTGCAACTCTAGTTTATCTGTTTAATTCCTTATATAACATCTTTATTTCCCTTCTAGTGTGTGTTTGTCATTCTGGGGGTTAAATAGATGCTAAAGGCTTGAGATATAGATACATAATTTTTTTAAAAAAGATCGTCTAAACTGTCTATTGAGCACGCTGGTTCTTTCCTGGCACCGATCCTGTTGGTTGGTGTTAACTATTTATTGCCTAACCTTGCTGTCGGGGCGCTAATTACTACATTTTAATGGTCGGGCAACACACTACTAACAAAGAACAATACAGGCTGGACTGCAATTAATTACCCAAGCATGTGGCTCAAGGGTAAGGATCACCAGCCTTGCGATAAAAAAACCAATGTGGCGGGGGAGGGGGTGTGTTCATTCTGGCAGCACCCCTCGTCCCTCTCTCCCACACATGCACACCTTTTTCCCAGAGATGCCTATTTCTTTCTCCAAACTTGTCTGATTCCGGTCCTCCCGCGTCCGAAAGCCGGAGCGGAGAAAATGGGGGCGGGGGCGTGCCGCCCCGTCTAGGGGAGGTACTGGGTGAACTGCCCCAGTCCAGCTGCCGCCGACCCAGGTCCCCGACCCTGCCCTTTGCTCTCCGTTTTTCAATAAGTCCCGAGGCTCTGGCGGGTGGGCGTGGGAGTAGTCCTAGCGGAGGCTCAGAGGTCCTGGCCCGCCGTCCCGCGGTCCCAGGCGTTAGCCACGTTCATACCTTGGCTCGCAGCCAGGGGAGGGAGCGGGGGTAAGGGGAGGGACCTGAGGGAGGGGTCAGGCTCGGCGGAAAGAGTTAATGCGAAGAGGGGGAGGGGACAGGACCGAGGGACCGCGGGGAAGGCTCAGGTACGGCCGCGACGGCCGAGGG